ACCAGTGATAATGAACTAGTATTATTCCTAACAATGAGGACAAAAATCAGAAATACAAATTAAAAGCATGAAAGTCTAAGGCCATTCAGTGTAAGGGTAAGTAATAGACTCTAAAATCTAACTAATTTAATAGACTCTAAAAATCTAACTAGCCCATCACTATGAAACTGACCTTCATAATGATAATCATAAACTGTCAAAAGATAGAGGATAAATTATGCACATTATAACACTTTGAAAAGACAGGGAAATATATATATATATTCTTGGAGGGCTTATCAAAAAGAGTTACAAATGTTAAAAATTTAATCATGTTAAAAGGGTAAACCTCAATATAAAAAATCACATTTATGTAAAACATTTCATTGTCTGATACTGCTAACTAAGTATTAATGTTACTCCTATAAATTCTGACCTCTGTCATAACAGGTTTCAGCAAGATGTCTTCCTCAGTTTGTGTTGGAAAATTTATTTTATGGCTTTATAGACTTTGATCATTAATCCTTCTAGTATGTTAATAGTCCACGAGTCCTATCTATTTCCAGTTGCACTGGGATATAACTGACATAAGGTGTACACGTATGATGGTTTGACTTACATGTATTCTGAAATGATTACTGCAGTAAGTTTAGTTAGTATCTATCATCTCATACACATACAATAAAAAGCAAAAGCAAAAAAAAAAAAAAAATGTTTTCTCCTTGTCATGAGAACTCCCAGGAGTTACTCTTTCAACCACTTTCCTCTGTATCACACAGCCGTGTTAACTATGGTTGTCATGTTGCACATTACACTCCTAGTACTTATTTATCTTCTAACTGGAAGTTTGTACCTTTTGATCACCTTCCTATGCCCCACTCCCTGCAACCCTGCCTCTGATAACTACAAATCTGATCTCTTTTTCCATGAGCTTGGTTTTTTGTTAGAGTACACACAGAAGTAAGACCATACAGTATTTGCCTTTCCACGAGTCCCATTTTTTAAAGATTTATTTGAGAGAGAGAGACTGTGCGTGCGTGTGTGCACGTGACCACAGGGGAGGGCCAAAGGGAGAGGGAGAGAGAGAGAATCTCAAGCAGACTCCACACTGTGTGCAGAGCCCAGTGCAGGGCTTGATCCCATGACCCTGAGATTGTGACCTGAGCTGACACCAAGAGTTGGACAATTAACTGACTGTGCCACCCAGGCACCCCACCATGAGTCCTTTTTTTTCCCCCGTGAGTGCTATTTTTAAAATGGGTCCCCAGAAAGAAGCTTCTCACCTCCCATTATTTCAGTTCTGTGTGTTTCATGAAGTGCCCCTAACCACACAAAAATTCAAAGGTATCTGTTTTGGTGTGAGGGTATATTTTGTACATGTTTTAGGATACTTTCTGGAATTTTATACCAACATACTGATCTGAAATATTGAGGCTAGTCTACAGTTATGCTGAACTCACTACATTCTAGATACTCCAGAATTCAATTTCCTATAATTGTATAATGGGTTCTTTTTTTTTTTTTTAAAGATTTTATTTATTTGACAGAGACAGACACAGCGAGAGAGGGAACACAAGCAGAGGGAGTAGGAGAAGGAGAAGCAGGCTTCCCACGGAGCAGGGAGCCCGATGCGGGGCTCGATCCCAGGACCCTGGGATCATGACCTGAGCCGAAGGCAGACGCTTAACCGACTGAGCCACCCAGGCGCCCCTGTATAATGGGTTCTTTTTCCTTAAATAAAATGTAAAAAAACTTAACCAGCTTCCACATAACCAATTCAGTGATTAATCAATGCTCCCTGCTCCTCCTGTAGAACTCCATGACAGATATTCATAAAAAGCTCTTCGCAAATCTCAAGAATGCTTGCACACTCCTGCTCTCAGTAGCTAAGCTCAATGTTTGCTTAGTTTAAGTCTTTTGTTTCCAAACCAATTATACTCATTGCACTTGTTACTGTAATTGCTTAATTTTATTAAATATTACTGTGAAGTAATAGGGTTTTCTGGAAACACCAGAAAGCTGGAGAAGTTTGTTTGTTTTTTAAAGATTTTATTTATTTATTTGAGAGAGACACAGAGAGAGAGAGAGAGAGCGTGAGCAAGCGCACAAGTAGGGCGAGTGGCAGAGGGAGATGGAGAAGCAGGCTCCCTGCTGAGCAGGGAGCCCAATGAGGGGCTCAATCCCAGAACTCTGGTATCACGACCTGAACCAAAGGCAGACGCTTAACCAACTGAGCCACCCAGGCGCCCTGCTGCAGGAGAAGTTAACTACATGGGGACACTGGGACATTGGTCTTCCTTTGTGGCTTAGGTGAGAATGTAGCTTCAAAGACAAGTAAATTTGGTGAAAAATCAGAAGAACCTGAAATGGAAGCATTAAGCACAGAGACTGTGTAAATTTTTTTTCTGAATGGTGATATAAACTGCAAATATAAAAGCATAAAATTTAGTCTCTTGGATCTGCCAACACCCTGAAATATGTGAGCCAGTACCACCTGCAGCTGCCAGATCCCATTAGAAACTGCAATGTCAAGGAAAGCACGACGGGATATCCTACACCTGTTACTGTTCTGATGGAAAGCTTGATTCTTTGAGTTTATGAGCCTTGGCTAAACATGGGGGAGGGGGTGGTGGTGGTGGTGGTGGTGTGTGTGTGTTCCACTTGCAATAATGCAAATATTTACATCAATGAAAAATGAGTCTGAAAAGAGTTGCTTCAGTAAAAAAGGAAGGAGGAATACTTTAGAGTTATTAAGGCACACTGCTAAAGAAAAAAGTTGCTTCTAATTAGGGTAAGACTGTAAAGAGTGGGAAAAATCACAAAGATCTTGAAGGATCCTACATTCAGACTGCTTCAGACCTGTCTTTACATTTTTTCTGGATTTAAAGAAAACAAACTGGAAAATGCAGATGATAAATTATGGACATACATAGGCAAGAAAAATAGGTAATTTCAATCAGTGGCTGCACTTGAAAGAAAAGACCTTGGTTCTGGGGCACCTGGGTGGCTCAGTTGGTTAAGCGTCTGCTTTGGCTCAGGTCATAATCTCGGGGTCCTGGGATCGAACCCCGCGTTCGGCTCTCTGCTCATGAAAAGTCTGCTTCTCCTTTCACACTCTCCCTCTGTGCATGCACGCACACTCTCACTCTCTCTCAAATAAATAAAATCTTTAAAAAAAAAGAGACCTTGGTTCTAAAATGGATGTGCATTTATTTAATTAAAATGTCTGTTATTCAGGTATCTTTATTTTTAAAAATTATTCTCCCTTTAACAGATTGTTTAAATTAATTGAACTACTAATAGTGGCCACATTGAGTAAGATGGGTTCTACTACACTTTAAGCTAAAACACTGAGAACTGCATCTGCTACTTTATTGTCCACTCACATAGATGTTCATGTCATTTACCTTAGTTTCCGCCACATGCTTAGATTTATATATACTCTTTATACCCTCTTCCAGATAATTTCTAAAATGTTAAATAAGCCTACTTTTTATTGGATCCCACTGTTCTATAAATTGATTCTCTGGTTAGAACCTTTTGCTATGTCATTTGTTTCTAGTTTTTGAGACAGTTTCTTGTATATAAAAACCAAATATCTCAGTAATTAAATTGGCAAAGCCTGTGGAATGAAACCTTGTCAAAGGTGTTTACTGAGGTATAATTCATATACAATAAAATGCACTTGTTAAAATATACAGTCTGATGAGTTGTAACAAATTTATATACCCACGTCACTACCATCCTAATCAAGGTCTAAAATATTTCCAGCACTTCAGGAGGTTCCCTCATGGAAACTGCAGTCAATTTGCAGTCAATTCCTTACTCCTTCTCAGCCCCAGGCAACCAATGATCTGCTTTCTGTTAGTATAGATATGTTCCTTTTCTAGAGCTTCATATCAAAGGAATCACACTGTATGTACACTTTTTCCTTCACTTAGATTCATCCATGTCGTTGTACTTACTGGTAATTTGTTCCTTTTTATTTCTGAGTAGTATTCTATCGTATGGATACAATTTGTTTACCTAGTCACTTGATGAACACTTAGGTTGTTTCCAGTTTGGGACTATTATGAATAAAATTGTTATGAATATTCCCATACGGGTCTTTGGGTGAACATGTTTTCTTTTCTTTGACTAAATACATAGAAGTGGAATTGCCACGTCATATGCTGAGTATACATTAAGAAGCTGCCAATTTTGTTTTCCAAAATGTGTATATCATTTCACATTCCCACCAACAATATAAGAGAGATCCATTTGCTTCACGTCTCAAAGTCTTTTTTAAAAAAAGTCATAAAGCAGTCATTTATGTATGTAATCAGTAATTATCAATGGTAGTTCTGAGAAGTTAGTATGTACCAAATGCTGTGTTATATATTTATCTACATGTTCTATTTTTTTCTCCACAAAACACTCTAATACATTAAAAACATTTAACTCTGGCACATACCCAACAGTTTATGTGCAGAGGTATTTTTTAATATTACCATCAACATTCTTGGAATGGAGTGAAATTTACTGGTTTTATGTCCTAGAGTTGTCTTGGAAACGTATTTTCATTTAAACAGATTTTCAGCTTTTCAAATATTAGCTTTAGCAAATTCCTGGAAAATCTGCACCCATTTATACCTATTTGTAGCTTTTTCATTTTCCCCCCTATTCTTTATGAAGGCTTAAGTTTTAATTTTTCTTACTCCTTTATTGGGGGTAGGGGTGTATAAGAATAATTCTGAACATATCTATGAGGCCCTTTCTATTGTATTATCTGACGAAATCATAAAAATAAAACCCTAAAAAGTATAGCTGCATAAGGTCATTTCTCACAGGAATATTATGCTCTGTTCCTTAACAGTTTTTTCTGTTGTAATATGGAAAATTTAACACTTTTGAAGATATGAATGATTTCTTGACATTTCATACATAAGCAGTGGATATAATTTTAATTTTTATGGAAATGTAAAATCACACAAGCATCCAAATGTTTTATGATAAACTAAAAATAAGTAGAATCTGCTTACCTTAAAAAATTCCTTTTTCTCAACCATCTCATTACCATCTGCATCCAGCATTTTAAAAGCAACATGAAACCCAGTATGAGGTTCTGCAATTAAGTGAAAAGTGAATAGTTATTTAAATGGTGGTGAAATGCAAATTACTTACTGATCTATAGGTCTTCAAATTTGAAAAAAACTTCTAGAAACTATATATAAGTGCCTAAACAGAGAAAAAAATGATCTTTTCTTATTATAATAATTTTCAAAGGCTGATATATTTTCACAGCTGTGCTGTTCTACTATTAAGTGCTCTGCTTTTCAAAGCAAAATTAATTTGAGAACTTATTTCTTTAACTCTACCAGGGGCTTTCCTATATTCTTATAGTAACTTGGCTATTTCCATACTGATTATTACTCTGTATTTCCCTCAGAGTTGGGTTTTTAAAAAATTTTTTATTTTGAAATAATTTTAGACCTAAGAAATGTAAATATAGTATAGTGAGTTCTCATATAGTCTTCAGCCAGCTTCCTCTAATGTTAACATCTTCTACAACTACAGTATCATTGTCAAAACTAAGAAATTAACACTGGTAACAGCATTTTAAACTGAACTACAGACTTTATTTGAATTTCAAGTTTTTCCACTAATGCTATTTTTTCTACTTTAGGATCAAATACAAGAAACCATGGCTCAGTTGGTTAAGCGACTGCCTTAGGCTCAGGTCATGATCCTGGAGTCCCGGGATCGAGTCCTGCATCGGGCTCCCTGCTCGGCAGGGAGTCTGCCTCTCCCTCTGACCCTCCCCCCTCTCATGTGCTCTCTCTCTCTCATTCTTTCTCTCAAATAAATAAATAAAATCTTAAAAAAAAAAAAAAAAAGAAACGATGTTGCATTTAGTTGTTAGGTCTCCTTACTCTGCTCCAAGTTGTGAAAGTTTCTCATTCTTCCCTTGATTTTCATGACCAGTCTTAAAAGTACTGATTAGGAATTTTGAAGAATGTCTGATAAGGGTTTTTTAACATGTGAAGGTTAAGTCTGATTCTCTTCTGTTCAACAAGTCTTTTGAGGAGACAGTTATGGGGAGCCACAGTACAAAGGAAGTACAAGGGCTAATCTAATCCAACAGTATCATTTTGTTGATACAGAAACTAAGGTAGCATGAGAGACTATGGACTCTGAGAAACAAACTGAGGATTCTGGGGTGGGGGGTGGGGGGATGGGTTAGCCTGGTGATGGGTATTAAAGAGGGCACGTATTGAATGGAGCACTGGGTGATATATGCAAACAATGAATCATGGAACACTACATCAAAAACTAATGATGTGATGTATGGTGATTAACATAACATAATGAAATAAAAGTAAAAAAAAAAAGAAAGAAACTAAGGTAGCAATAATGTTTTAATGATAAAGACATAAATACCAAACTTCCAAAACCTTGTTTGGTAAGAATAGAGAATTCCACATGATCACTGAGAAAAACTGTGGGGTACTTACTAGTGAGGATTGTAAGCAAGAAAAGATACTCAGTATACGAAATTAGTCCTGAAAGAGAAAATAAAAACATCAGAAGGTTTAGAAGTAATCATAGATACTATATGGAAACTTCACCTAATTAAAAATACACACATTTTGGGGCACTGGGGTAGCTTGGTTGCTTAAGCGTCTGACTCTTGATTTCTGCTCAGGTCATGATCTCAGGGTCATGAGATCAATCCCTGTGTTTGGCGCTGGGCATGGAGCCTGCTTAGGATTCTCTCTCTCCCTCTGCCCCTCCCCCCTCACAAAAGGTGGGGGATAAAAACACACACATTTTTACTTTAATTTACCTCTCTTTGGTACAGTGGAAAACTTCTGTAATAGAGAGTTAAGTACAGTACTAATACTTAAAAAAGATACTATCTTTTTTCATCAGGTTACTATTACTAGTAAAAAAGGGGAATGGATGTTGGCTAGCAAATAACAGGTATCCACTACAGGTTTTACTTACATGGCACTTCATGCAATTTCTATCTAAATTTAACTATTCATAACATCTCAAGTGAAGCAAATTTAAAAATTCAGTAGAGTAACAGAGATCTCAATATACAAAAGGTCAACCTATATTATTTAAAATGAGATTAATTAAATCTTTGCAGCAGTAACTTGATTTTTCTTTGGGAAACCATTCCTTCCCCATTCTCAAACACGTAGTTTTGGTAGGATGACCATCCTCACCTTTGAAGGTAGAAGCTGATAGGCCTAAGCCAATCATCGTACTCTTACTGAATTGGTGCAGAGATGGGCAAGAGGCTGACCCAAGCTAATGAGCAGGTTCCGTTAGTCTGGCTTCAGGGACTAGTTCAGGGATGGGCCTTGACCTAAGCTGGGTCACTCAGAGTGGAATTTCTGACAAGAATCCTAAATCATTCACTTTATTTTTTCCCCCCTTCCCCATTCCCCTGGGCTTTGATGATGTGAGAATGTTTCACTTAGGAATGTGAGGCAATGGAGAGAGTGCCTGGAACTGTCAGAGAGCCAGTGTTTTAGGGCTTGAGAATGCAGCCAATCTTTAATTGGCAGGCCTGAAAAATGGATACTGGTGATGTCTGAGCGCTGGATTAAACTGAATTTGAAGCTAGCTCTGTGTCTGGCCACTCCTAGCTCTACATCTGTCCTTTCTTGCTCAAATAGGTAGTGTCTGGGTTTATGTGCTTGCAATGAAAAGAATAGCAATAAACATAGAAACAATGTCTTGTAAATCATGGCTTCCTGATAAGCTAAAAATAATTTTCCCTCTGGATCATAAGTTTGATATAATAGCAAAATACACAATTAAAAAAAACTTTATCATGGAAAACTTCATGGAGGTTTTATCATGGAAAACTTCAATCATACACAAAAGTAGAGAGAATATAATAAATAACTGTATTATATATATCAACTTCAGTAATTAACTCATGGCAGTTCTTGTTTTATCTATACCTCTTTTCACTCCCTTCCCCCCACTTCCCACTGAATTATTTTTTTTAAAGATTTTATTTATTTGAGAGAGAGAGAGAGAGAGAGTGCACGTGCACAAGTGAGCAGAGGGGCAGAGGGAGAGGGAGAAGCAGACTCCCTGCTGAGCACTGAGCCCAACTCAGGGCTCTATTTCAGGACCCTGTGATCATGACCTGAGTTGAAGTCAGACACTTGACAGACTGAGCCACCCAGGAGCCACCCCCCGCCACTGGATTATTTTAAAACAAATCTCAATATATTATTTCACAGTAGAAAATTCAAGCTGTATCTCTAAAAAGACTGTCCCCTTCCCACAAATATACTTGCCACACCTAAAAAAATTATCAATAATTCCTCAGTATCATCAAACTCACATCACTTTTACAAATGTCCCTGTTTCAGAAAAAAATTTTTTCAAGTGTGCTCAAATCAGGATTCAAAAAGGGTCCCTGCATTACATTCGGTCAGAAGGTCTCAAGTCACTTTTTTTTATTGTGGCAAAATACACATAACAAAAATTTTACCATTTTAACCATTTTTATTTATTTTTTATTTTATTTATTTGACAGAGAGTGAGAGAGGGAACACAAGCAGGGGGAGCGGGAGAGGGAGAAGCAGGCTTCCCGCAGAGCAGGGAGCCCGATGTGGGGCTCGATCCCAGGACCCTGGGATCATGACCTGAGCTGAAGGCAGACGCTTAACGACTGAGCCACCCAGGTGCCCCTAACCATTTTTAAACGTACAGTGTAGTGGCATGAAGTATTCATTGTTTTGCAACCATTATCAGAACTTTAATCATTAAAATTAAAACCCCTGCCTCCAGCCCCTGTAACCTCTCTTCTGTTTTCTGTTGCTATGAATTTGCCTACTCTACGGACCTCATATAAATGGAATCATACAGTATTTGTCCTTTTGTGTCTGGCTTATTTCACTTAGCATAATGTCTTCAAGGTTCATTCACATTGTAGCAAGTGTCAGAATTCCATTCCTTTGTAAGGTTGAAAAATATTCCACTATATATATATACACCACATTTTGTTTATCTATCTGTTGATGGACATCTGGGTTGTTTCCCCCCAGCTAATGGCTATTGTGATTAATTCTGCTACAAACATTGGTGTACAAGTATCTCTTTGAGTCTCTGCTTTTAATTCTTTTGGGTATTTACCCAGGGTGGGATTGCTGGATCATATGGTCATTTTATTCTTAATTTGAGGAACCCCCATACTTTTTTCAAAAGTAGTGGCACCATTTTACATTCCCACCAACAGTGCACAGAGGTTATGATTCCTCCACATCCTTGCCAACACTTGTTTTTTTTCTTGATAATAGTGGTATTAAGGGGTATCTCATTATGGTTTTGATCTGCATTTCCCTAATGGTTAGTGATGTCAGGCATCTTTTCACATGGAAATTAGTCAACTGTATATCTTCTTTGGAGAAAGGTCTATTCGAGTCTTTGCCCATTTTTTAATAAGTTTGGTTTTCTTGTTGCCCTATATGATTTGCAAATATTTTCTCCTTTCCTGTGGGTTGCCTTTTCATTCTCTTCAGAGTGTACTTTGATTCACAGGTTTTAAATTTTTCTTTTGCTTTCTGGTCTTAAATCTTTTTTTTTTTTTTTTTTTTAAGTAGTCTCCATGTCTAGTGTAGAGCCCAATGTGGGGCCTGAATTCATAATCCTGAGATCAAGACCTGAGCTGAGATCAAGAGTCAGATGCTTAACCAACTTATCTGTTAAAGATGCCTGGTCATTTGACCTGTAAAGTTTCTTACAGTCTAGAAAATTTTGCTGACTGCATCTTCTTGGTGTCATTTCACATGCTCCTCTAACTTCCGTATTTTTTCTTTCTTTTTTTTTTTTCCTTTTAAAGATTTTAAAGAGAGAGAGAGAGCAAAGAGGGAACACAAGTAGGGGGAGTGGGAGAGGGAGAAGCAGGCTTCCTGCTGAGCAGGGAGCCCGAAGCGGGGCTTGATCCCAGGACCCTGAGATCATGACCTGAGCCGAAGGCAGAAGCTTAACGACTGAGCCACCCAGGCACCCCTAACTTCTATATTTTCTATAAACTGGTACTTAGATCCAGAGGTGTGCTGAGATTCAAGTTTGATTTTTGGTAAGAATTTTTTTTTTAAAGATTTTATTTATTTGACAGAGACAGAAGAGAGAGCACGAGCAGGGGGAGCAGCAGAGAGAGAGGGAGAAGCAGATTCCCCACTGAGCAGGGAGCCCGACATGGGGCTTGATCCCAGGACCCCAGATGATGACCTGAGCTGAAGGCAGACACTTAACTGGTGCCCCTTTGGCAAGAATTCTTAATTAATTGATTAATTAAATTATTTTTTCACCATATCATTATTTTTAATGTCCAGCATTTACAATACGAGGGCCAGAGCTTTCTCCCCAACTCAAGTTTATAAATTCTCAATTGGCTTGTGAGGCCAATAGGGATACTTCTTCTTGTCTAATTTGGTTTCTGGGAAGACTTCATTCAGGTCCTCAATGGTCATCTGATCAAATGCAATTATGTTCCTCATCTTCTCCAGCTCTTTTTCATATTCCTCAATCCTGGCCTTTGAGAGAGACAAAAACTCGGCACAACTTTTCACATCTTCTTTTTCTTCAGCATCTACCTGAACAGTATATTTTATCCTCTGGCACAGAAACCTTCAGGGCATTAAACTTCTTCTCAAAGTCATCTACTAAAACAGCCTTCGCCACATTGGCCTTGTAGTAAGCCCAGTCGATAGCAGGTGGTTTCTCAGGGAGAGTAGCCAACCTGGAGGTTAAGTGTCTCATTCTAGGATTTCAGGGAGTTAGCAATGACCTTCTGGTTTCGGGGTATGATCTCCCCAAAAGCTACCCAGTCAATGGTTTTTAGAGCAAGTTTTCGTGCAGCCATCTTGAGATCCTTCACCGACGCCAGCAGCCCAGAGTCCACAGCAGCAAGGAATGGAACTGGGTCCAAGAATTCTTAATAGATGGTGCTGTATACTTCCAACAGGAGGCCAGAATAAAAATGTTTATAAAAAATGCTAAATACTATTGAGAAACAATGATAATAAAAGTTACAGATTTTGGAAATATGTGAAATCATTTCTAGATCTTAGATGATCAGAGATGTCTCAGAGGAAGTAATTCTAAAAATGGTCTTCAAACGTATGGAGGAAGTAATTCTAAAAATGGTCTTCAAACATATGGAAAATTCCAAATGAAAATTTTAATTAAGAGGTGTGGGATAGGGGCGCCTGGGTGGCTCAGTTGTTAAGTGTCTGCCTTCGGCTCAGGTCATGATCTCAGGGTCCTGGGATCGAGCCCCGCATCGGGCTCCCTGCTCAGTGGGAAGCCTGCTTCTCCCTCTCCCACTCTCCCTGCTTGTGTTCCCTCTTTTGTTGTGTCTCTGTCAGATAAATAAATAAAATCTTAAAAAAAAAAAAAAGATGTGTGGGATAATAGATGAAGCTGAATATGAAAACTAAATATAAAAATACAAAAATTAAAAAGTGACTGTCAGAAATAACATCTATGTGGAAGAAGCAATGGGAAAGGCCATGATCACAGCCTA